CCCCCCCCCAGTCTGAAGTCTTCACCACGGCGGTAAAACGATTAACAGAGGGTCCATTAATCCGGGATTTGAATGAAAGGAAGGGGATGAGGTTTAAACTGGGCTCATTATTAACCAGTTATAAAAGGAGAGGGGCGACCAAGCCCACCAGACCTGATGAAGTCCTGGCCCAGTTCAGACCGAGCCGTCCTTCAACATGACCTTTTTCTAAAGACCACCGGTTATAAGCAGGCACCGTGGAGGGGGGCTACGCCTTAGTAACCAGCGCTTATTACAGCACATTATCACATTTAAATGTAATCCGCAGCTCCGTGCTGTCTCTGAAACTGTCACAGCAAACACAGGAAGCAGATCCCGCTCCGATAAAGTTCTTTATTCGGCTCCTAAACTCTCCGTTSAGTTTGTAGCTGGTTTTATTAAAAACCGCCTCTGTTGAAACTGAAGTCACGACTTCAAGCGTCAGATCAGCAGTCAGCTCTAACAGGTGCTGCAAAAACACGGCTCACCTGCTCTGGATCATCAAGACTCGGTGAAATGAAGAGAAACATGGAGTACTTACTCCAGCTGCCTCCTGTTCGGCCCAGAAACTCTTTCTTCTCCGAGTTCCAAACGAACGACCTCCATCCGCCGTCGTTGTCTTTATTTCCAGACATCTGAGCGACTCCAACGGAGAGAAACAAGAAAATATGTCCCCCGTTTTGGGTTTTTTTTTTTTTACCCGTCTGTTCTGGGCCTCTTTGAACGAGCCGCCTGCGACGGTTCGACCGCAGAGGACAGGAAACACGAAAAGGACAGTTTGGGACCAGAACCCTCCAATTGTAGCGCTCAGTATTTATGTGACGGGGGCGGCGGCTCCGCCCGCCAACTCCTGCAATAAGTTAGAGCCGAGGAGGGAGGGCTGCAGCCGGCAAATCAAAACTCAGAGCTCTCTGTGCGTAAGAGGCCCGGTGGGGGTGGGGGGCTCGTTCCAGGCACACTCTCTCTTCAGAGGCGTTACAGCGAAGAACACACCAGTTACAAAATCATGTCTGTCATGGAACCAACTGGGTTCACCAGTGGCGGAGCCAGCCGTTTTTCCTCATGGGTGGCCTGACTGGGACCACCAAGGGGTGGCCAGGAAAATKACATCATTTTTTTAGCTTGAAAGTTTCTGTGGGTCTTTGTATTTCGGTCATTTCCTTATGTCCTCATACAGGCAGTGACTACCTTATAAACATGGGCGTCTGAACCATTTTAAAAGTGGGGGGACATGTTGGTGGTAGATGCCATTTCCTGCATTCTGGTGTATTTTAACAGGTCATTAAACATAATTTTACCTACATTAATAAACACTTGATTTAATAATTATTTCAGAGACAAAAAGAAAAAAA